CTTTTTATTTTACTTAAATCCTATTATTATCACTATTATTCTCACTATTATTAATTTATTAATTATTATTTTGTTATTAATGTTATTGTTCTAACTATTATCATTATTATTATCCATTATTCATCACATATATCATTATCACCATTTAATCATTTCAACCCTCCTCTATTAGCACGCAGTTGTTACTAACCTCATTATCAATAATACTTATCTTCATTCTATGTGCTGTATACATATCATCCCTCTAATTTGTTGTGTTCTGCTGTTGGTGGGGGTTTTTGGTGATGTTATTATACTCTAACAATTATTATTATTATTATTATTTTTATTATTGTTAACATAATTTTATCATTATACTTATTACTATAAAATTTATTATTATCATTATTTTTTGCTATTATTATTATCCAATAATAATAATAATAATAATATATTATTTATTAGTATTATTATTACTATTATTATTATTATTTTTATTATAATTGTTATTTTTTCTTATTCTTTATGGTTATTATTATTATTATTATCATTCATCAGACATCATTATTTATATATTATATAATTATATATAAGAGGATATATATACATATTTATGTTTATATATTTATATTTTATACTTTTATTTATATATATATATCCTTATATTGTATATATTTCATACACAACTTAACACACACACACACACCACAACAACACACACACACACACAACATCACACACCACCAACACTCACTCCACACTCACACACACACCTCACACACTCATCACTCAACCACACACACACAACCACACAAACACAACACTCACACACACACACACACACACCACACCCACACACACACACACACAACAATAATTAATTGAATTATCTATTATATATATTTATATATAATAAATATATATAAAAACAATTATATATAGATATATGAACCGTAATCATGTTGCCATGTAGAAAAGCCTCTGCCAGGGGATTTCTGATTTCCATGCTTATCTATCTATCTATCCTCCTATCTCTCTATCTTTCTATATATCTCTCTATCTCTCGTCTCTTCTATCTTTCTCTTCTCTCTCTCTTTCTCTCTCTCTCTCTCCCTCTCTCTCTATCTCTCTCTCTCTCTTCTCTATATATATATATATATAATATAATTACATACATAATTATATATATATTTATAATAACACAAAAGTCACGACGTGTTACAACTGTCGACGGCGGACGAAGTTAGCAAGGAATAAAACTGCGCAGTTGTCACGGAAGTCAACCAGTGGGGGCTTCTTGTTCAACAATATAACAGCATATGATTCCGTGTTATTGTGGATGCTGTCGTTTACTTACCACGATGAGATTGTACAAAGCGATCGATATATAAGTGGACTATTACTCTGCAATGAAGTGAGGTATATGAGAGGGGTTGTGTGTATATATCATGCTATGTATCTGTATCTGTGGTGTTGTGATGTGTATGGTGTGTTGGTGTGTGTGTGTGTGTGGTGTGTGGTGGTGGTGTGTGTGTGTGTGATATCTGACAGCAGAGCATATCTGTAGAGAAAAGCAGGAATGAAATCTACGGAGTATTTCTATGCACGTGATTTAAAACTTGCTAATGCAACATGGGCCTAGAACCACACTGATCAATAGATGACTTTCGTCGCCCTCCCCCTAGTCACTTCTGTTTGCAAATGAATGACTTCCGCCCCAAAAACAGTGACGGTGGCTATGCTGAGGACCCAGGGTGCTGAGATAATGAGTACAGGCAATAATGAATAATGATGGTTTAATATTAATGTGAGTGATGATGGCGATTAATAATGATGTGTGGTGTGTGTATGTGTATTTGTTATCTGGAAATAATGATGTGGGTGCGTGTATGGTATATGTTGTATATGTGTATAGTGTTAGGGGTATAGTGTATATGTGTATATGTGTATCTGTGATATGTGTATGGTGTATGTGGGCTATGTGTGTAGTGTGTATGTGTGTATGTGTGTATGTGTGTGTGTGTATGTATGTATGATGTATGTCTGATGTATGATGTATGTATGTATGTGTGTGGTGTGTGGTGTGTGTGTGTGTGTGTGTGCGTATGTGGATGTGTGATTTATAATATATTTTACATACTTAGTGAAATTGTGAAAATGGTGAGATAAAACGCATCATATCGTGCGACAAGGAAAAAACATCTTATTTTTCTAAGACTTGTCAGTGTAGGATATTGCATTAAACTTAATCTGCTTATTGATTTGTATGATAGATACTTCAACCATTGAAAAAATATATATTTTTTTTAATCATGTAAAGGAAAGTGGAGGTAAATGGACGTTTATTGAATGAATAAACGTGAGGAAAGATTTCTTTGGAATTAACATATAGAAGAAACAAAATCTGTGCCTTGGACTAATGAATAAGATATCCCTTTTATGCACACAACACACACACACACACACACACACACACACACACACACCACACACACACACACACACACACACAAACCACACACCACACACATTCATACATACATATACATATTATATTATGTGTGTGTTGTGTGTTTTTGTGTTATAGAGACAAAAATCACGGACTTACGAAATAGGACGGTATTAAACGAAAGGTCAAGTCTTTTCTTTTTCTTAGGACAGATAAAAAGTCTTTGAAGAAGATATCTTAAACATACTTACATTTCAATGTAACATGGCACCCAACGTCATAAACGTGGGAGGAACGGCTCGTTACCGCTTGGCAGTATATGTTAAAGCGTCCTGTAAGTATTCTTACCATATTAACAAAGGTTAAAACTGCAGCATTTGCCATAATATGGACAGTTCAAAGGCCGTCCTTACGCGTGTGGGAAACAACTGCGTCCATTGTCTTAAATACTCCGGTCCGAGTCGAACATGAAAAATCGGGACGCGTAATATTTAGTCATTATTTGGTTCATTTTCCCCCCCCCAAAAGATGTGCTGTTTAATTATCACGGGGATTCTTAGCACAAGGTCTATTGTAATGTATATAGTAGTTGCGTTCATAATTGTTGGTATTATATAGGTTAAGAGACGTATTGAACCACACTGAAATTTCGAGAATTATACCGGCAAAATTCAAAACGCAGAAATATAAGATACGAATTTCATCGCTATTACGGAGTAAAACGTATTAACCGAACTCTTAACTTACCAAGAGCCGGAGAAGTTACAACCTCTGGAGGAAAATCTATTCAAAAGTACGAAAACGATGCAGACAATCAATTGACTTTAAATGTCGTCTTGAATTGAGGGCAATAGAACTGCTAGTAACTCTTGCAGATTGATAAAAATCAGGCAAAAAAAATAATAGAGCTGATGTTAATTATCACGTACAATCCTGTACAGGGACTGAAAGAGCCTCAATTATCCCTACGATGCCAAGCAATATCAAGTATGATTCGCCGCTGATAGCACAGTGAGACAGAACTCAAAAATGGAACGGAATTAACGAAAAGAAACATCTTTACGAGTTGCCCTCTTCCAGAACTTTGAAATGCGAAAAAATGTGGAGCCATACACGGAAATCGGAAAAGACAATCGTAGAGTCATACAGCACAACTACATGTATTCCCCCCCCCCAATCCCTTGCCGTGTTGTCGTGGGGGGGCTTAGGAGGCGGAGACTGGACCCAATGATGGGGAAACATTCCCCAACCTTGGACTCAGCCCTCGACTTTCCTTCCCACTTTTGTTTCTGTTCCTCCCACACACACACCACCACTTCTGTATCCAACTCCTAAGGTGTGAGAGCCCGTGCTGAAAGGTGATGAAAGCTCTGGGAACTTTGTGCCAGTCCTGAACGGCACTGAGGGACCATGGGCACGGTATCCCTGATTTTAGTTATCTAGCCCTTACCCCTCAAAGGGGACCTGAGGGGTGGACTGTTTTTATCCCCAACATAATCCAGGCTTACCATGGCCGTAATGAAAATATATCCCCAATGTAGGGGCGAGAGGCTTGACCCTTTAATCAAATAGCTCCCAACGAAGTAAACCCACCCGATTCCCTGACCCCAGCTCTCTTGACACAGCTACG